TAAAAGACAATTTAAGTTTAACGACTCCAGTAACACGAATGTGCTTCGACCTGTCAATTAGGTCTGACGCCATTTTGATGAGAAATTGAGTTACTTCCCTTTATAAATGTAGAAATGAGCGGTCACTCTGATTGGTATCATTGGTCATCCAGTACCTTTCTGCCTATTTAAGGTCACTCGTGGTTGTTATTAGCATTCTATTTACACGGGAAAGTTAACCCCTGAATGTCTAAATTGAAGAGCCAACAAGTTTAATTGAAACTGTATTCAAAAGTGCTAAATGTTGATCTTGGTTTTATATGTTTTTTTCCGAGCTTGTAACTTAGTACCCCTATTATCATTTTTGAACTCTTCGCACATAACGAGATTAGAAGAATATATTTAAGAAGAGAGGGGTATTTTTGTAGCCCTGCCTGTCACTGCATCTTACCATTTGGCTAAATCAAGAAAACATGAAAATTTCTATTTTTTTCGTCTTTTCCTAATTCTTGTCTATATCTTTTATTTCTGTGTATATAGCTCTTTGATTTCTCACGGTTATTTCTCTAAAATAATCATTGTTTGTTATTTTTTTGATATGTTGTTTTTTTCTGTTATTATTTTTTAGTCGGTCGGAGGGAATGTTTGGGGGTTGGTGGGGTGTATCGGAGTCAAATGTACTCTGTTGTGAAGTTGCATGCGATATTTTTGTTGTTTTGTGTTTATGTGTCCTTTAAGTGTAAGGATGATCATGCCTCGATAATGTCGGGGCGTGGCTGAGGATGTGGTGGGGGTGGGGGGGGGGATTAAATATCTGGGTTCCTTGAATCGAGAACTAAGTTCAATCATCCAACCGAAACAAAGTTGAATATTGTAAAAGAGTTATCAAATATTTTCTGTTCTTTCTGTCTTTGAATTAAAACGCACGTGCATACTGGCATTTAACATCCTTTATGTCAGTCACTTCCAGTCTATCAGAATTGTAGACCATTTTACACTGTTGTCTAATAAGATGTATGACACAAACCTGAACTGAACTTAAGTGATAATCTGATTGGTTAATCAATCAAATCAATTGATTTTTTAACCAATCAGATAACAATATTTCCTACTATCTGGATTATTTCAAAGCTACGTTTTTTGTGAACCCAGATCCATCTATCAATATTTTTGTAATGATTTAGCCTACAGATTCGTCAAAACATGTCTAAGGTGCGGACTTTTCGATAGTTTAGTTTATTCTTTATATTTAGTATTTTCCTTATGTGATTGTCTATTTCGTTTTGTCTTTTTTTAAATTTCAGAGTCTAACTCTTTCTGAACCTCTATATATATTCCGCTCTTCTTCTGAACCCCTTTTCCGAACCTACATGTCTATTTCTATTTCTGAACCACTGCGTCTTTTCTATCCGTATTCTGGACCTCGACGTCTAACTCTTTCTGGATCTCTGCGTTTATTTCTTTGACAACTGCTACGTCCATCTCCTTCTGAATGTCTTTGATTATTCCCCTTTACTTCTTGATCCGACTCATTTTAAACTTCCACGTCTATCTCCTAATAAACGATATCGTCTATCTTTTATCTAACATTTCCTTTAAATCATCCACGCCCAGTCATGAAAGACCCGGGCTATCTCTGTCTAAACCTCTACGTCTCTTTCCTAATGAACATATATCTATCTACTTCCCCCCTTGTCAAAAGTCCTACGCCTGACCAAACGACAGGTCTACGTCTTTTCTGGACCTCTAGGTCTGTCTATACGCCTCTTAATTAACGTTTACGACTATCTCTAAATCAAAGATTGCGTCCACGTCTATCTCTGTCTAAACATCTTCATTTATCAACAGGCCTTTGTTTATACTTTTCTTATCCATCTAAGATGTGTTTTTATGTAGACATTTCAGCCTATACAAGTTTATCAGTAGGTCATTATGTTGACAAGGGAGGTAACTATGTTTATACTCTGTTGCTTTATTTATGTCTGTTAATTTATTAAGAGTCAGGACTCGGGAAATGTTTTGTTTTTTTGTTTCATCTTTTACAAGATTATTTTCAGTGCAATAAATTATACAAAATGTTAAAAATAAACAATAAAAGTCAGTAAATGTTTTATGGTCGTCATCTTTTAGTCCTTCAACAGTGGCGGTCCCAGCCACTCGTGACTTGGGGTACAAATAGGGCCCCATGGGGTGACTTCGATTGAACCTCTGTGGTCGAGCTAGAGTTGATGGAGAAATGACGTAATTATCTTCAGCGAGCAATCCGAGTGAGGGTCGCAATCGCATTTGATCGAGTTAAGGCAATATGGCGGGACTTTTGGCCATATATAGACATTTAATGCTATGATGTTAACTCGTGTTTGACTCTCCAAATAGTGAGTGTCGGACCCGAGCTTTTAACTAGGTCAAATATTACGTCACACGAGTCTCAACTCTACAAATATTACAGTTCGGTTGTGACTCGAATGATGGGAGCAACCCGTTCCCTACTCAACGTCTGCGATATGGAATTTCTCCGAAGCGGACACCATCCACCAACAAGAAGAAGAAGAAGTGACTCGAATGACTCGAGTCTAACCCGGGCTCCAATTGAAGTCACCCATGGGTGCAGACTTATGGGAGGCGGCGGGAGTGGGCTATCGAGGTTGAGTTTCAGAATGCAGCTCTCTGTATGCACCATACAAACAGGCCCCCCATGAAGTGTATAAGAAGGTTCTCCATCAAGAAAATAGAATTTATTTACAAAGTAGTTTTCGATTCAAACTTTCTCAATAATGGTATTCTATTCGTGTCTGATATTTTTGCTAATGATATTAGTTAAAACACCATACAATTTATGTCTTTTTGGCATTCGAAGTTCTATAACAAAATCATTTCCTGATATAAATAAGGAAGCATTATGCAAATATGTTTCTACGATTAATTTAATAAACTGCAATTTAATTAAACTATTTAAACAAAATTTATATACTATTAAATCAAAACACATATATGATAGCCAAATTAGGAATTACTATATCAAACCTACTGGAATTAGAACTTGGGAAAGAACTTTGAACATCTAACTATCCGAGCAAGAACTTAAACTTACTTTTAAAAAACTTAATGATATTGTTTGTAACGTTCAAATCCGAAACTTTGAATTTAAATTTCTACATCGTATCATATTCACCAACGATAAACTTTTTAAAATTGGCAAAGAAAGTAGTACGCTTTGTGATCTCTGCTTTGATTGTATTGAATCCATCAAACATAAATTTCTTTTCTGTAATAAATCACAAATCCTATGGAATTATTTATCCAACCAATTTTTAGATAAAAACATTCCGATTAGTCTAACCACTTTCGTAAAAACTTTTGGAATTTTAGAAAATGATGGAAATATTTCAAAACCTTTATGGCATTATATTAATCATGTTATTATTCTCACAAAATATTTTATATATAAAACAAAACTTCAAAATCTGATCCAAGTATCCTACAATATACCTTATTCTTAGAAAAAATAGCTCATACTGAAAAGAGTTTTTATGATGATAACTTCTCTAACCAAAAGTGGTCGTATTTACTATATATCTTTTATATTTAAGGATATGGTTGTTTCGATAATTAGATATTCATTAACTATGAAATGTCTACAACACTATGTTTTTATATATTTATGTATCACATGAATGTGAGGGCAACATGTATATTGTTGTTAATGTAATATATTGTAATGATAAATAAAAAAATTATTTTTTCAAAAAAAAAAAAGAAAAAAAAAGAAGAGAATTCATTTGATGAACTTATTATATTGTACCGTGTTAAATTCCAACTTGTTTAAACTACTGATCTGGATGTTATAAATTCAAGTCGACCAAGACACAGATTCCAAGATATGACAATCTTTCGGATTGATCAATTGAATTCTAAACCTTTATCATTTTCTCTAAGATTCCTTCAAATATACATCAGAAAAATTACACATTTATTATGAATTGATATCGATAAGTCGAAGGATTTATTAGATTTTACGGTTTCAAAATAATTTCGTTTTCACAACAAAAATATTTACGCTTGAAATTTGAACGTAACCGTGCCCATGTTTGTTGATATTTTGTTCTGACCTCTAGTAATTTGTTAAAATGCTGAGAATTCCGTATAATGTGCGACCAAGAAGAATGGCCCGAGTGGACGGAAGGTGTGGGGGTCGGGAAAAACGAATTGTTGCATTGCAAAGATTGGTGACAGCGTTATTCCGGTATGAACGGATTGAGTCGGTGTATCAACATTGTGATGAGACACGAGGTTATGCAGAAAGGGTGTGAAGATTTTGTGTTTATATTTTCTATATTTATACTGACATTATTTGTAGATGTGTCGAATTTATGTATTGCATATACATTTTTACATTGAATCATCTAATATTGACAATGTATGTAAGATTTAGTTCGTAAAGAATTGTTTCTTTTTAAATAGAGTTATCTCCCTTAGATTTACTAAAAAAATGTGATTTCTTTTATAATGTGATTGATGTAAAATGCGAAACGAAATAATTGTAATTTGATATCTTATTTTCATTTCAGCTGATTTCTCTTGCTATAAGAAATGGTAACAAACACAGAGAAACCATGGAAACAGCAGACTTTTGGCTTTTGGTAAGGATTTGGTATTTTGTCAGCTCTATCTTTAAGCTTATTTCTTTTTATTTTATTGTTAATGGAAAATATGGAAATATGCAGTTGTATAATACTATTTCATTTGTAGAAACAAGATTTGGACTGCTCTTTGTCTTCAATTTCCTCACATTTCACAAAATATTAAAAATTAAATGTCAACTTTTTTCTTGAAATTTTAATGATTTTTGTTTTACAGGAAAAAGATCTAATCCCCAAACTATTTGAAGTTTTGGTTCCACGCTACATGAATTATTCCAGCGCTTACACCCAAATCTACAGACTTCCCTCTGTTTATCCTGGTGATGGGAAAGAACTGGGACTGATTGAATTGAAAGGTAGGTTTGATTCACCCCATTCCACATCCCTAACGAGAGTTCACATACACAACCAGAAATCACCCTTTTGGAGAATTCACATAACTAATGATTTTTTTTTGTATGAATATCAGTTGTCGTTCTTTGTATATATATATATATCTAAGGTTGGGTAAAATGATCGAAATTATCATCGCTAGGAATTTATCATTTAGATTATCGATTATCAAGTTTCGTAATTGAATATATGCCAAGTTACATTTTCTCCATTGTACCAGTTAACAAGTAATCTCTTCCACATAGAGTAAACACTTACAGACAGCCCCAGAATGCATTCCATTGATTTGATTGACTGTTTTAATAGTCAAGAAATATCTCTGCTCGAATATAGACATTTTCAAACATTTCAGGTAACCCCTGGCCTGACGTAAAACACAAAAGGCGTGATAAAAGCAATTTATTAACCAATATTCTGCTGAACCAAGTGAAACAGGAGTATGAAGAAGGAAATATAAAATTCGGAGTACCTCGTGCCAAAATTATGGACAGGATTAAAGCATCAAATATTGATTCTTCGGATAATTTTCAATCTAAGACTAATGTTCGCGAAAATGGATCCTGAATGAGTGACTGTGTTATGAAGAATAATTTCAGCTGATAAATTCAACAGAGAAGACAATTGTGATAGTGAAATAAAATGGTGTTTAGTTTACAGTTATATATTTTAAGTCTAGCGCACACACAAACCATCAGCTTAGTAAGAATTCATTCGTGCACTTCTCCTTAAGGCGATAGCTTCTGTGTGCGGGTAAATTTATATAAGATTTTGTGGCAAAAAGTTGAAAATCAAACATGTTTGATAATTTTTTCCACGAATGAACAAATGTTTGTGTGTGCGCGCAATTAAAGCTGTCTGCTTAGAGACGAATTTATGTACGCATACATAGTCACGTGACATTTCAGAATGGCCTCGCCCATGGAATTGAATTTGATAGATAGATGTCACTTGACTACGTATGCTTACATAAATTCGACTTTAAGCAGATAACATTAGTTATGCGCACACACAAGCATTTGCTCATTCATCACGAATCTTACATAAATTTACCCACACACAGAAGCTTTGGCCTTAAGGAGAAGGAAGAAGTGCACGAATGAATTCTGCCTGAATTGATGGCTCATGTGTGCGCCAGACTTTACATAGAACTTTAATAACACTATGTAATAAATACTGTTATTATAACATGTTTATCATATACAATACATGTTCAGTGAGTTAATAACACTGTGTAATAAATACTGTTATTATAACATGTTTATCATATACAATACATGTTCAGTGAGTTAATAACACTGTGTAATAAATACTGTTATTATAACATGTTTATCATATACAATACATGTTCAGTGAGTTAATAACACTGTGTAATAAATACTGCTTCTCTCATTAACAGTAAAATATATTTTATTGGCGGCCATGTTGAAGTCGACACTGTATAAACTACGTATAATTGTACATGTTAGATACTTATCAACATCTTGCTGTAAGGAAAAGCTCGATTTGATCAAACTAACAACGACGTGAGATCAAATCTCACGTTACCAGAAGTACACAAAGTTAATTTTTTGTAAACAAAACCTTCTAGATATAATTCCACGCATAATTAGCTAATTCTTCACATTGAAAACAAATCGGTCTATCTCTTTAAAAATAAAATGGACTGTTGTGTCTAACTATTAATTCGTGCTCGAATGGGCACTAAATCATAAGTGAAGTAAGTATTTCATAATGAAAAGTGGTATCAGGTGTCTAGAAGAATAAACATACCCTGCGTGTGGCCACATCCGCCAGTGCTGCTTAACATGTACAACAAACATGACAAATAGGAACAAAAAAACTAGTGACTAGAATGATGAATTTTAATAGTTCAAGGGAGGTAAATACATTATAAATATTATATGCACTAATAATAACTTGTAGTAAGATTGATGAAAACAAAAAAGAAATCAACATTAATACATAAAAATATATACAATATATACATGATTGCCTAAAGGGAACCATTAAATAGGTAAGCAGAAAGATTTCATACATCTATGATATATATATAATTGCCTTAAATCTTTAAATGAGCTTGGATTAAGTATCAGATTTATTTTGTGTTCGGACGGGAATGACCAGAAATATCAGGGAAAGTAAAGATGACGCAAAAAAGAAAGTGGAATTAATCTTCAATATATTTTGATTTACAAACATAAAAAATCTATTTTCCCCTTGATGTTTTATTATATTGTCCGATTCTATCTTAGATTACAAACTCTAAACTTACAAATTTAGATAATTTTACCTATTAATTTGAATAAATCAATAAATGTCATTCACCAACCTATTATTATTATTATTATTATTATTATTATTATTATTATTGTTGTTTTTCTTGGCAGCATTTGTAGGTCGATGGGGAAAATCCAAATATAAGCCAGCACGAACCAAGCCCATATATATTGATATCTTCACAAGAGATAATAGTTTTATCATTTCTTAACAGAAAAGATTTGCTTAAATATAAACGCCTCTAGTATTTTAGAACCTGGGATCTGTTTCAAGAAATCTAATTAGAGATAATTACAGTGTTGAAGTCAATTAGATCCTTGAAATAGCTTATTTGAAAATTGTTTCCCTAGAACTAAATCCAATATGTTTAAACAACCCAGTAAAAGAATACATTGATGCAGCTTTATCAAGCAAATATTTCGACTTTACCTACAATAGGTTAATAGAAACTCTGTGTCTGATCTGAATCTGAATCAAGAAATGTTAAACTTGCATGTACCTCATTTAAATATTTACAATGTTCATACACCCAATAATCATTCTCATAATCATCATTCTCCTTATTTAAATCATAGAAATCATAATCACCATCATAATCATCATCAATATAAGACTCTTTAAACAAACGTCTAACACGAAGATTTATGAAATCATCATAATCATCAATAAGAGACTCTAACTGAACAGGCAGTGAAAATCGCCTAGAATCTTGATCTTTAAACATAAGAAATCTTGTAAGTGGTTTTCCAACTTCGGAATTTAGTTGTAGTTTTGAAATTCGATCATGAATAGCTAGACCTGTATTTTGTCTGATGACTCTTCTACAAATATCCTTTAGGCTCAGACTGTTGGCAAAAAGATAAAATTTTTCTTTCGGTTTTTCTCTTAAAGTTTCTTGCAATGATGCTTCATAATTTTCCTCAACTTCAAAATTTAATACTTGTGTAATTTGTTCAATTGAGCCACCACTTAAATACAGAATTTGTCTTAATTCATGCCTAGATTGTGAAGAAAATTCCCCCAGCGATAACTGACCATAGGAGATTTCTCCATCATCTGAGGTTAAAAGTTGAAGGTTGACATTTTTAAAAACAAGAAATTTGATAAAATTGACAGTTTGATCAATTTGCCATAATGGTGAGAATTGGAGTACATTTTGAATAATAGTGTTACCATTAAGACATGGCTGATTAAAAGATTGTCTGCAACCATGAGACAGAAGTAAATTAAAACATGTTAAATCATAAACATTGTTTGTTAAATCTATGTATTGTAGAGCAGATCGACCATGGTTGTCTACAATATTCACATCAGCTCCATGTATTAATAGTGTTTCTAACAATTTTCTATCATTTTTTATACAAGCCAACATTAAGACTGTTTTCCCACCTTTATCTTGTATATTGACGTCTGCACCAAGATTGAGTAAAATATCAATGCAGGCAAGATATCTGGGATAGTATTCAAAGGCACATAACACTTTCACTACTGAATTGACTTTCATCATATTTAATTTTTCTTTTATCAAAGTAAACCCGATGACACTAAGGTGGAGTGCTGTATGGCCCTGATGGTTTTGTCTATTGACGTCACAGGGTAAAGTCGCTAAAAATTGAATAAAGGGTAAATTATTTAAAAGTGAGGCCACCATTAACGGTGAATTACCAGCAATATTTATAAGATCAAAATCTAATTCATAATCAAACAAAAAACTAAAATCTATATATAAATAATCCATATAAAATTGAGTTAATAGATGGACTATATTTTCACCTGATGATGTTAAAGAATTGATATAGAGACCATTCTGAATAAAAAACCATAGAGATTGAAAATCATTTTTACTCAGAAATAATTTAACTAATTGAAGGTGATTATCAACATGATCAGTTAAAACATCAACATTATGTTGGATTAAAACAGGAATCAATTCCACATTCTGACAATTTGCTATTTTATGAAGGGTATTGAAACCACCAGGAGAAGAGAAGGATGAATACCCCTTTTGGTTTTTAATATTGGGATCACATTTGCCACTTTCAATTATACACCTTACAATTTCTATATTTCCCAACACTACAGCTGTATGTAAGGGTGTATAACCTCTACTGTTCTGTTTATTGACGTCACAGTTTGCATATAGAATATGTATTACAAAGTCTTTATTACCATATCGTACAGCTAAATGTAACGGTGTAGCCTCTCGTCTGATCTGTATATTGACATCAAAAGTAGTTCGGTCTAATAAACACTTTACAATATTTCTATTTCTCTTCCTTACAGATTTATCTAATAGTGTATGATTAATTATACACATTGCAATGTCTATATTACTATTTTTTACAGCTCTATGTAAGGGTGTATGACCTCTGTTGTTCTGTACATTTACGTCACAGTACGCATTGAAAAGTAAACACCTTACCATTTTTACCTGATCCTTTTCTACAGCTAAATATAAAGGTGTATTACCTCTAATGTCCGGTATTTTGACATCACAGGTATTGTTCTCTAGTAAACAACGTACAATTTCTATATACCCCTTCAATACTGCTAAATGTAAGGGCGTTTGTCCAAACATATCTTGTAAGTTGACATCACATTCTGTATGGCCCAACAAGCACCTTACAATGTCTATATTATTCTCCTGAACAGCTTTATGTAAGGGTGTATAATCTAAATTGTCCTGCAAATTTACACTACAGTCCGTATTTAATATATATCTCACAATGTCTATATTACACATTTCTACAGCTAAATATAAGGGTGTATAGCCATCTCTATTCTGTATATTGACATCACACTCTATATGCCCTAGTAAACACTGTATAATATCTACATTACCCTTTAATATAGCTCTATGTAATGGTATGAAACCGCCACTGTCCTGTTGGTTGACATTACAGGTACGACACCGTATCAAATTATTTACAGTCAATAGATCATTGTTCTCCACAGCATCAAATAAAGATGTTCTAGTTGACATTTTTAAATCAGTCTGTAATAAATAAAACAGTAATTATTTAATCATGTCATTATAAGATATGTTAGAGAATAAGCAGGTTTTACATATAACTATCACTTAGTCACAATTATATAACAAACACGACGTTTCTACAATACTTCACTAATAGTTATCTTAGTCACAATTATATAACAAACACAACGTTTCTACAATACTTCACTAATAGTTATCTTAGTCACAATTATATAAATTGTCCTGCAAATTTACACTACAGTCCGTATTTAATATATATCTCACAATGTCTATATTACACATTTCTACAGCTAAATATAAGGGTGTATAGCCATCTCTATTCTGTATATTGACATCACACTCTATATGCCCTAGTAAACACTGTATAATATCTACATTACCCTTTAATATAGCTCTATGTAATGGTATGAAACCGCCACTGTCCTGTTGGTTGACATTACAGGTACGACACCGTATCAAATTATTTACAGTCAATAGATCATTGTTCTCCACAGCATCAAATAAAGATGTTCTAGTTGACATTTTTAAATCAGTCTGTAATAAATAAAACAGTAATTATTTAATCATGTCATTATAAGATATGTTAGAGAATAAGCAGGTTTTACATATAACTATCACTTAGTCACAATTATATAACAAACACGACGTTTCTACAATACTTCACTAATAGTTATCTTAGTCACAATTATATAACAAACACAACGTTTCTACAATACTTCACTAATAGTTATCTTAGTCACAATTATATAACAAACACGACATTTCTACAACACTTCAGTATAAGTTATCTTAGTCACAATTATATAACAAACACAACGTTTCTACAATACTTCACTAATAGTTATCTTACTCACAATTATATAACAAACGCGACGTTTCTACAATACTTCACTAATAGTTATCTTAGTCACAATTATATAACAATCACGACGTTTCTACAATACTTCACTAATAGCTATCTTAGTCACAATTATATAACAAACACAACGTTTCTACAATACTTCACTATTAGTTATCTTGGTCACAATTATATAACAAACACAACGTTTCTACAATACTTCACTAATAGTTATCTTAGTCACAATTATATAACAAACACAACGTTTCTACAATACTTCACTAATAGTTATCTTAGTCACAATTTTATAACAAACACAACGTTTCTACAATACTTCACTAATAGTTATCTTAGTCACAATTATATAACAAACACAACGTTTCTACAATACTTCACTAATAGTTATCTTAGTCACAATTATATAACAAACACAACGTTTCTACAATACTTCACTAATAGTTATCTAAGTCACAATTATATAACAAACACAACGTTTCTACAATACTTCACTAATAGTTATCTTAGTCACAATTATATAACAAACACAACGTTTCTACAATACTTCACTAATAGTTATCTTAGTCACAATTATATAACAAACACAACGTTTCTACAATACTTCACTAATAGTTATCTTAGTCACAATTATATAACAAACACAACGTTTCTACAATACTTCACTAATAGTTATCTTAGTCACAATTATATAACAAACACAACGTTTCTACAATACTTCACTAATAGTTATCTAAGTCACAATTATATAACAAACACAACGTTTCTACAATACTTCACTAATAGTTATCTTAGTCACAATTATATAACAAACACAACGTTTCTACAATACTTCACTAATAGTTATCTTAGTCACAATTATATAACAAACACAACGTTTCTACAATACTTCACTAATAGTTATCTTAGTCACAATTATATAACAAACACAACGTTTCTATAATATGTCACTAATAAACAACACCTCTATTGTTAATTTTACTGATTATTTTCATCTGAGTTTATGTGAATTGTTATATCAGCTTGAGAAGAGTACCAATAAAAGAACTTGTTATTTTACATCATATTCTCTGCAATATAGCTGCTGGTATACATAAAGTGTAAAATTACATGTCAAATTTTGGTTGAACATTGCCTTCTACAACAACAAATTATTCGACCATGTTTTTAGCTAAAAATTGCTACGAGACTATTGATCTATATTTGCACAGTTTTAGTTTTCGTGGAATCCATCTTTAATATGCTTACGTCGTCAAATGTCCATATTAGGTAATTCAATTTCCATTGGTACACGTGAACTTTGTTAATCAACGTATTTAACCGTCATATTTGTGCAGAAGATTCGTCTCTATCTTTTCTCAATCATATTGATAATATTTTAAGGTCTAGAGACAAAACCCTTCAGGCACCTATAGCGACTTGGTTGTAGTGGTATTCTCCGTTCTGAGTGTCATAATTGTCGCGTTCAGAAGTTTGCATGTTATGGTCAAAATTCCCCTGTCCGTTCATACTTATCATATCCTTTATAATTAATTATGTGGCAACACTTTTATTCGTTTCAATATATTATCAGTTTCATATTTGTATTTTTATCAAAGTGTTAATCAGGTAATTAGACAGATATATCATATGTTCATTAATGAGTTAATTGTTGTCTGTAATCTTTAAAAACGTAGTTACGTGCCTTTACTTAATATTGATTCTTATCAGTGTAATCTTTTTCCTTTTCAGAATAACCTTTAACCTTACGATTAACTATTATATGGCAATTCTGCGTGGATTAAAGATATGATTGAAAGTTTGTCTTAATCTAGCACCTTCTTGCCCCCTTAAGGATATTTGGAGCAACTATCGATCATAATTCATTCAACGAACTTCAGATTTTTTCAGACGTCTTTCAATTATGATCGACAATTGAACTTGTACCTATTGTTTATTAGAAACAGGACTACTGAACCGAGGTACGGCAATTAAAAGGTTAATATAAAGGAAATGTCTAATTCATTGACAGTAAGGAATGGTGAACATGACACATATTTTGGTCGTCCCAGGTGAATAGGAATTATTCATTATAAGTCTGCTTCTGCGGTTTATGCTGTGTTTCGTCTTGACAAAAGATAATTTGGTCACATTAATGAGAGCACAAGGTCCAGACACTGAGCGGCTTGGGACCGAACCTTCCGTCCTGGGGTGGACACTATTCATTCAAAAATAGATTTAAAAATTGATATAATTAATTATATGACTCAGCCTATAATTCAATACTGGTTTTTATTTAATCGATCTATTTTGAAATGGGTACAATACACTCCAGGTTATAACATAACAACTATTATTGTTAGAAATTGTAATAGCGTGATTTTAATGTCTACCTCTGTATGACTGAAATATGACTCAGCCTATAATTCAATACTGATTTTTATTTAATCTATTTTGAAATGGGTACAATACACACCTGGTTATAGCCAACATAAACTGTTTGTTAAACAAGTGGTTGTCCAAGTTTATGCAGACTTAATTTCGAAATTGTAATTTTGTTACAATAATTCACAGATCACTTGTCGAAAAATAGAAGAAATCATACATTTAATTAACATACAAAAAATATACCAGGTTTCAAATCTGATCAAAACTGTAGCCTCGATCACGTTTATAAGCAAATGTAGCGGAGTTTTCTTTAGCTATGTCAAGACCAACAACTCAAAGAGAAACGTCATCAACATCCATTATGCCTGGGATCTTACCAATATACAAAGATGTACCATAAGCACAGAAAGTTTTATCAAAATCGGATCAAATTTATAGCCCTCTCTAATCTGATTTTAATGTGGTTTTTTTTAGCTTGGTGAAAGGCGACAACATGAAAACTGTTTATTTAAAATTTGCAAGAATCTCGTCTGACATCCAACAATATACATACGCATACCTTATTTCATCAAAATTATACGAAATCATAAACCAAGCCAATATGGACGGAAAGGATCTGGCACAGGGTTTATGTTGTGTTTAAATGTGATTTCATGTTGATATAAAATGAATTAAAATCAAAGAAGAAAATCATATAGTTGTCATGTAAATGATTATACTTGGACTTTAATAGATAATAATTTACTAATTGGCACTATGTTTATTAGAAAAGTAATTAGTTGTTAAAATATGTAGATCTGCACGGAAGTGATCCGAAAGATTGATTAGAGTTTATCGGAACGAGGTTTGTATTCCGATTATCAATTTCTGAAAGAGTTTTGCTTTTTAATACCGCGGAGATATCGCTTTAAAATACTTTTATGTCTGCCTTCATTGTTTCATTGAAATACGGTCCTTTGAATACCGTTGTGTCGAGGAAATCCATACTTTGTTCACTGATATTGGCCGTTCATTTAATGGATGGGGAGGTAATTATAGAATATCAAAATATTGCCAAATCCCTGAATGGTATGTTGCCAAATCAAAGAATGGCATCAAGTAAACGTCCGTAGAAAATTTATAAAGATATAACTGGACACAGAGTGATGTTAGAAAATTTATAAAGATATAACTGGACACAAAGTAATGTTGGAAAATGTATAAAGATATAACTGGACACAGATTGATGTTAGAAAATTTATAAAGATATAACTGGACACAGAGTGATGTTAGAAAATTTATAAAGATATAACTGGACACAGAGTGATGTTAGAAAACTTATAAAGATATAACTGGACACAGAGTAATGTTAGAAAATTTATAAAGATATAACTGGACACAGATTGATGTTAGAAAATTTATAAAGATATAACTGGACACAGAGTGATGTTAGAAAATTTATAAAGATATAACTGGACACAGATTGATGTTAGAAAATTTATAAAGATATAACTGGACACAGAGTGATGTTAGAAAATTTATAAAGATATAACTGGACACAGAGTAATGTTAGAAAATTTATAAAGATATAACT